CTCAAATCACTTTGTTACATGACTTTTCATTGGGGAAGCCACAGTCTTAGATTAGCTTTCTCTTTGCTCGCCCTAGTAATATTCCCCTAAGTTTATCAGTGAGATTCACGATAGATGTGAATTAAGGGGGAGGACATTTGAAAAAAAGCATGTGAAAAGAGTCAAGCAGGCTACATGTACTTTTCTTCATCTGATTCCTTTTGGAAGAGGACATATGAAAGTGAGCACCTGCAAGATGACTTCCTTGCAACCGTTCGTGCCACGGGTCCTTGAAAATCTCTGAGATCCCAGGTAGGCATCTTCCATGAGGTCTTGTTCTATCTGGAATTTGGTCCAGTTTCCCTGAGAGATGCCTCCTCTCTTTCAACTCCACCAGCAAGAATGTTATTGTGGGTCCCAGGGCTTGGGATGAGTAAGGAAATCACTGCTAAGACTGAGAATATCATCTTGGGTGATACTTGGTTTTGATAATAATGCAGAATAAAATTTTTTGATTTGGGATATTAGAACACTGAGCTAGAAAATGCTGGAGAGACAGAGGAGGACGGGGAGATTGATCAGAAAGTCAGAGAAAGGAATATCATTTTGGATCCCACCTACCTCTACTAGACAGTCAAGGCTAAAACTTGGGTTACCTAAAATAAGAAATTACTTTGGGCAATCATTTATTTCCTCCATATTCTATCAACTTCCATCTTCCTTGGTCAAATTCACATATTTTGAGCAAATTTATTAATTTTATGGCCACATTTCATGATTAATAAAATTCATTCCACTTTAAAGTTGCCAAACAATACCATATTCACACCTCTATTTGTTCCTTGTCCTTCTCCAAGTATAATGTTGAAGTCTGACCAACAGAGTCTGACCGCTCTTCCCTGGATTAAGGGTGAGGGTGAGGATCATGATGTGGTTCCAATACACCCGACTCTTTAAGTTAAGGCTCAGCTCTGAAGTGTAGACACAGAGAAGTAGGGGTTTGAGTCCCCCGTAGAACCAATCGATTACCTGTCCATGTAGGGAGGTGCCTCTATTGTTTTATGGGTTATTCTAGTTCTGAAGGGGGGGGTAGATTTCCTTTTTGTTGTCTCCTCCATGAACATAGTATGGATTTCATATTGCGTGAGGATGATGTTCACTTGGGTTCCTTCTATTAGTGAGCACTTTTTTAAAAAAGGAAGACAGCCATATCTACTTTCATTCTGGTCTTGACCCCAGTATCTTTCTCAGGCAGATCAATTAACTTGAATTGGAAGTGTCCTGGATAACCATATAATTCCATTTTTTCCTTTTCTTTGTGCTTCTTCAAGGAGATCACAGGATACTAAAACTTCTCCTCATCTTCTGAAAACCATGTATAATTATGATATAGTACGCCTCCCCCACCAGCCTTCCAAATTTTCCCAGATCGTTTCAAGAACATTTTCGCACTACCCCACACTATTTCAGCTTCTGGAAGCAAAGCCTGCAAATCTTTCAACTTTTTTTCTTAATATCACCAATTTTATTTTTGATGCTGTTGGATCCCTTCCATCCTTGGGCTTTGGATAGTGACGATGGTGCTATGTTCTTCCTCTCCTCCATTTCTTCCTCTGGGAAAAAGGCAAAAAGTTCTCACCACAAAAGCCACCCTACCCCAAGAACAAAGACTTTAAGAATCCTATATCCACCTTTCTTTCCAGTTCTCTCCTGAGAACTCTGGCGGGGTTCTGGTTCCTTTAATAAGCCTGAAGGTTGGGGTTGTGTGTTACTCTAAGTATTCAGAATCTTTGGTGAGTCATTAACATGTGCAGTACTTTAAACATTTATTTTTGAGAGGAATAGCTAATGTCACTCAATTCCTTGTGACACCGGTATAGAGGAGTTGTTAGTTTCAGATTAGAATTCTGGTTTGCTCTGGTAGGAATATAAAAACAGGTATTTCTAAGTTTTCATCTCAAATTATGATTTTACCCTTTACCCTAGCATTTTAAAGAGTGTGCTTATGGGAACAGATTTGATAGGCACTAATAGTCTATATACTAAATTCAAGGTACCTGGAAAAAATTCATATGGAGAAGTCTACAAATAGCTAAAGACTTGGTATGGATTTGGAGTTTAGACTAGAAATTCAGTAAGAGACAGCTGAAATGATTAACACTAACAACAGCATTTGAAACACTGGAAATGAATGATATCTCCTATGGAGGGTATGCAGATATTCTGATGGAAGGGAAGTGGGTCAGAGAAAAACCCAGGGGTATATCAGCAAGTGATTGCAAGAAGAACAAAAGTATAAGCAGGGAGAGGGAAGGAGAACTAAAATAAGATGAGCGAGCAAGTATGGAAAGGGAAAATAGAAATAGAATTTAACAATAAAAGGTCATGAAGAGTAAGAAGGGAACATGCGCATCTCAGTGGCAGAAAGGAGAAGGGATAGGTGGTGGCTCTTTCATGTGGTGATACAATACTACCCACATTTGCCTGAGGAGCCTCTCAATAGCCCAGATGTACAGCTGTCCAACAAGAACTCGGACAAGGTATGGAATTCAGGCCTCCTGCATCCTCTTACCGCTTGCACCATTGAGACAATTTGCTCATATATTGTGATGACTAACTTGATGTGTCCATTTAAACGATGCTGCCCTGCTCAGCAGTTCTGTTAAACATTGCTCTAGATGTAGCTGTGAAGGTATTATTTTGTTGTTGTTGAATGTGATGAACATTTACAATTCCTTGCTTTGCTTAAAGTCAACTGATTGTGAATGTTCAAGCTAAGCAACCTGCAATTTTACTCACCCACCATGTGGGTAGCTCTCCAGAGTAAAGATGGAAGTTTCCAAAAGGAAAAATTCTGCATTAACACAGCAAAATAAAAACCCTGCTAAAGTGTTCAGCCAGCTGGCTTGGCCTTCAGAGTTTGCCTTTAGGGCTCCACCACCACCCTTGCTTGAATTTCCAGTTTGCCAGCAGGCCTGACAGGTTTCAAGCTAGCTAGTCTCACCGCTCATGAGATAATTCCTTAAAAAATAAAGCAATGTCTTTCTCTCACTGTGTGTGAGAATGTGTGTGTGTGTGTGTGTGTGTGTGTTTTAGGACACATTTATACAATATGTAGATTGTATAATAATTTTCCTGGAGAATCCTAATGTATATGTGTATACCAGTTTGCAAATACTAGTTGTACTAGTATTTCGCCTAGTGGATCATGGGTGTTTCTCCCACTAGATTAAAAAACTTCTTTAAATTCAGACTGTTTCTCATTCATGCTTTTTATTAGCACATCTTTTCAATGCATAATGATTACATTTATTTTGGGAAAATGGTACATGTACATAACACCTCTCAGTTCTTTTGTTTTTTTATCCCTCCCTCCCCTCCCTGCTTCTGCTCACACTTGGTCCTCTTCCCATTTGCAAAAGCTCTATTTTCATCATCTCTCCCCTCAATTCTGTCTTTCTACACCTCCCTCACTTCTCCCTCCATCTCCTGTTCTCTCATCCATGTGAAAAAGGTCTCCGTACTTCTTATCTATCTAGTATATGTATGTGATATCTATCATATATTTATCTATCATACATACATATGTGTATATACACACATATATATACACACACACATACACACATGAGTTGTTCATAGAAGAGAAACCATGCAATATTTAAATGTCACATTGCCTGGGGGATTTAGGCATACAAAAAAGAATTGATACATGGATAAAATCTCAATGGGAACAGATTAGAATTGTCCCATCCTTTTGGTAATGAACACTGTAGTTCTGTAATAACTTTCCCCCAGCTCATGAAATCAGGATGGGTGTCTGTTAATTAACATCATGACAGGCTGGAGATCTGAGGAGAATTCATCAGGCAGGATGTGTGAGTTGCCATAAGGAAGGTGGCACTAAAATTACACATTGCTGTGGGATGTTCAGTGTTCAGTGATGGTCTTGATCTCTGACTACAAATTCAAGTATGCAGGACAGGATGCATTTCATTAATTTCTTCGAATTTTATGTAGTTCTGTGAGCCCTTGTCTTGCTGAGGTTGTGGAAAAATCAATCTCTTTCATCACTGGGGTGAACTGTAAGCCATACTTGTGATAGGAAGATAGGTGATAGACAGGGCACTTCAGACCCTAAAATGCTATCTGTTGGGATAATAAGGGCCTCTGAGTTATGCTTACACCCAGCCTGCAGAGTTCCTTCCTACACAGCTGCTCTGGGCCTTTGCTTGTTCTTTGCTTAGGACATGGGTGTTTTCTTGGTACCGAGAGGCCAGCCCCCTTACATGAGCCAAGAAAGGAGATTTTCTGCCTTCCTTTGGTATCACCAGGATGTTGTGTGTCTTAGCTCCTTTTCTCTCATTGCTGGGACAAAATGCCTGACACTCAAAATTAAGAAAGGAAAGGTTTATTTTGCTCACAGTTTGTGGAGGTTTCTGTCCTTAATCAGCTGGCTCCAAAGCAGTATGGGTATGGCAAAGAGGCAACCGTTCATGGTGGTGGAAGACAGCAAAGGCAGCATGAACAAAAGCATAAAAGAGAGGAACAAGCCTCTTTTCCTCCCTTATATTGTATGCAGGCTATCTGTGCCAGGGAGTGAGTAACACTCACACCTATAATCCCAGCACTAGACAAGGGACCATCACAAACTGGATTCAGAAGCCTCTGAAAAGCCTGTCCCCCATGAACACATGAGGCTTTGGGGGAATATCCAGACACAAACCATAACAGTATGTATCCAGCCTGATTCCTCTCTTTTTTTGTTATCCCACAAAGGCCACGAGTAATGATCTGAAAAGTGAACTTAATTCTTTTCCTCCAAAACATGAAGAGTACTTATTGTTAGGTAGTTCCAACTTCTGCCCAGAAAAACAAACAGTTAAAAAACACGTAAAATGTGGAAACATTAAAATTTCACAATACAATATACAGAGAAAAGAAAACAGAGCAAGTGAAATATTTCACAATATTGTTCTGCTATGTACGCATGTCTTTCAATAATTAAAGGCATTGCTTACCTTAGTGGTAATTTTCTTTTTGCAAGAAAACACAAGATGGTTATAATAATATGAGCTGTCAGGAATGTGAATCCAATACCCAGAAAGATCCATACATCTGTAATTCCAAACCAGTTGAAAAGATAAATATGCAGTAAAATATATTATTGGCCACAAACCAAACAATTTGTGCAGACATGTCACCTACTGTTTGGAGCATACGTGAAACTGGAGCTACTAGGGTTGAACTTGATGTGGCATCGATTTCCCTTCCATCCTTGTGGACATCTGGAAATGAGATAAAGTGCGATGTTGATAACAAACAAAACAATAAAGTGAAAACCTATTTGGGGAGAATTCTCACAGGAGAAGATGAGAAATGCCAGTAAACAATGAGATTCCAGTAATATGGGTAACGGATAAACCAAAACTACTAAGCAAAAATGAAGGCAAAATTAAATTGTATTATTGTCACATTGCTGCACAAAATAATTTATTAAAATATGTATCTCGTTCTTGACTTTATAAGATGTTAATTTGATTTCCACGTGTTCCCCCCTTTTTTTGTTTGGTTTTCAAATACTGTCTCATTTGTACCAGGATCCAGTATCATTTTAACTTACTTCTCATTTGGCTCAGATCCAAAAGCTATCACATTTTTCAGTAGTGAACAGATTTAAATTCTTTCTGGCAGCCAATAGAGTGTACTCAAATTATAGATTAACATAAACATAAACATAAACCAGAGAAAATTTGTTTCTCATTACAAAAGGAGAATGCTTCATGTACTTAGATTTCAAATCATAATAATAATCTCATTTGATGTGTTAGTAAAAAAGTTTTAGACTCCTGCTATGATTCTATTACCTTTGTTTGGTCTTTAGAAGGCTCGGAATCAGAGATCAGATTATAATTTTAATGGGGATTAGATTTACTTTTAAACAGTAATTAAATCAGAATTTTTCTGTTAGTATGTGTTTGCTTGTGTGTGTCAAAGTTTATGCACACATGCGTATTTACCAGAAATAATGGAATATAAATTAGGGTGGATTTGGCTGAAGTTCTTGCCATGTTCACAGTATATGCTAGAAAATAGGATTAAAAACCAGATTTTGAATATTTATGCTTAAAAGCTGTGCATTCAGAGCAGTGCTTCGTCAATGTAAGTGCATTTTCTCTCAATCTCTTTAAGATTTCAAAATTGGTATGTGCAAAATCAATCCATTCAAAAAGGAATCAGTTTCTTTATATATAAAAAATCTGGAGATTCTAAGAGACCCACTGAAATGTTTTCTTTTGCTAAGTATTCTTTGAAAAGTAAAAATTGAAAACAATTTGTTTTCATATTTCTGAAGTTTAAATTAAAATAAATTCGAATTATTGAGGACTGCAGTATTTGGTTTTTATTTTCACAATCCTTAAGATGTATTCTGTGTCAGTCCTCATTTGACAGCACCAGCTCTACATGGCAGTCTTTCATGTGTGTACACACTGTTGAGGCCAAAGGTGGAAGACAATTTCATTCTCAGTTAATGCGGTTTCTTTAGACTTTGAAAGTCAAAAGAAATTTCCGTCTTGGAAAAATAGTTTATATGTGACTGTACCTATCAAGATAAGTTCCAGTGGGAATTATCTGGGAATAGAAGTTTAAAAAATCATCCCTCTTTCCACCCCTAGTTGTATCTCTGTGCATTTATCTGTCGGTCTATAAATCAACCATCTACATGGTTATATATTTATATAAAACCTGTGAAGTGGATGGGAGCGAGGAAAAGGTTGCAGAAAGAAACAAAATTATTTAACACACATTTTCACCACTTGTCAAACTAAGCTTCCTCCATAGAAAAGCCAGTGTGCAAAATAATTGTGGGAATGAGCTCTAGATTTCGTCAAATTCTCCCTGAAAGGGATGAGTCCTCATCCCCTGAAATGGAATGCTGAAGTCAGCACTAATGGCCCGCCAGATTGTCACCCTGAAGTTCCAACCATCCTTTGAGCAACAACAAAAAAATCCCCACCCTCACTCCACCCTTAAGTACCAAGAGCTGGAAGGGAAAGTAGAAAATCCCGTCCTTCTAACTCCAACTGGGTGGACTCATTTTTCCCAAAATGACTATAAACCCTTATTACATATCATTAAAATATCTTATACAAATACTAGAGTCATTTTCATTTTCTCCACTATTTTTCACATGCATTCTGAGTAGGGAAGCTTAGGTATCTCACAGAACTGTTTATTTCTCATTAATACACCAGTAGTATTAGCATAACAATTGAAAACTATAAACATTTCTAAACCTGCAGGTTAATGTTTTTGTTTTTCTTATCATATTTTAGTGACATGTTTGGTACTTGTGTATGGTGGTGAAGGCTGAAGGCTCTTTTGGGAAGAAAGTAGGATGGGGGAGGGAGAAAAGCAATGGAGAGGAATTTAATGTGGTCTCGTTATGTAGTTGTCAGATAAACAGGCCAGTCCAGGTGGGGACATAGTAGGCCCAGTTTAAGTGTTGGTCAAGTGGCTTAGTGATGTGGGGAGTGGTGTATAATTGTGTAAGGGTAGGAAAGGATAGCAAGTTTCATTTTATTAGCTTGGCAATTAATTAAGGAGTAGAATTTCCCTTGTAGTTAATCACTTAGCTATTTCATGACTACACAAAACTGCTTGCAAGTGCAGTTTCATGTCTTGTGTAAGCCAAATAAAACTCATAAAGATCATAACTATTATATCATACTTATACTAAGTCTAAGATACATCATTGTAAATTAGAATGCTTGGGTTGTTTGTTTTGTTTTGTTTGTATATTTTATTGTCATGAAGAAAGTAAATAAATGTTAGATGTGAAGTAATTACTTAGAATGGTTATAAACTCATGTTTTTACCATCAATCATTAGAATCAATTTTTACAAAATTAAAATTAACTATTAGGCATCACAAGAGAAAAAAAAGGATCATTTGGTTTTATTCAGCGAGCACTCACATAAAAAAAAATACGAGGAGACTTGGGTTTGTTTTGAGTTATTTGCAGTTCCGTTTCAGCACTCACTTCAAATGTCTTTCAGTCTAATCTTGGGCCATTTCAAGTTATGTTTTGAACATCGGAAGTTCAAACTACTGGCTAATCTGTACAGGTGGCAGCTCCCCCAAATTCATTCTGCCAGACAATCAGCCTTTTTCTTCACAGTCCATCAAACTGTGTCACTTTCCTCTTGGTTTGTTGGAAGCGAACTCTATTTGACCTCTAGTGTTATCCACTTCTTCTGGGTGTAACCTTAGCTCAAGACCACATCTATCACCACACATTTTCCCAGTCAGCATAGATTGGTTCATAGATATAGACTTTAGTTTGAGCATCAAAATTTTATGATTGGTGAGAGACATCCCCTCCCCAACTGTGATATCAAAGAGGAAGCACATTGCCTTAGTAAGCTCAGATGTTCATCTGGTTACTATTTTGCTGCAAATCCATCCTGAGGATAAAGGCAACTAATAGAAATAGCCTGGAAAAATCATTGGAAAAGGAGGAAAAATATTAATAGAACTGCAGCCTTCTCTGTCAATTCATGTTGCAAACCTGCTCTGCAATTAGATTTTTAGTTTCATGAGTAAACAGATTCCTCTATCAGGTGGCTGTTTTGCTTTGGACATTCTAGTGCTAGTGTGTGCGCACGTGCACACACACACACACACACACACACACATCACTTTTACTTGTTTGCTTCCATTTTGTTCTTTAATGTTCTTCCCATTAAATTAATGATCCCTATTCATAAATATTTAATGAGTATCTACTATATACAAGGTACAGGGTAAAGAGATGGATAAAACAAGTTTGAGAATTTCTGGAATCATGAACTCAAAAGGATATTTAAAAATACATTTGAAAATAACCAAGATGAAAAGTAGAAAGTGAAATATAGGAAAAGTAAAGTGTTAACAGAAATGAGGAAATAATTGTTTCAAGAATCCATATTTTTCTTTTTTTTTTTTCCGATACCCGGAATCGAACTCATGACCTTGCGCTTGCCAGGAAGGCGTTGTGCTGCTGAGCTAAATCCCCAGCCCAAGAATACATATTTTTCAATAAGAATGAAATATGTGCAATTTTACTTGAATTTTAACAGAACATGTGGTTTCTCTAAAACTGAATGAAGTGATAATATATTAAATAACAATATTTCAGAAAAATTAGTCATCCAAGTATACAGAAATCATATACACCTGATGAGGTCTAGAGAGGTCTGTTCAAATATGAGTTGCTACCAGGGTACTGAACTAACCTGTAGACTTTACAGTTCATTATAGTATATTTTTCAGTTGTCCTTACTATGTCATTACATAGTTTTGAAGCATTAGAGAAGATAGCCCTGTCTTATTATTTATCTATTTTTAATATCATGTTCTGACTATTAAACTTATGAGTATTATTTTGTTAGGAGGACCTAGTATCATTCTACATTTATAATCTGTACTTTAGCAAACAATACAGGAAGCCTGCCCCAAAGAAATCTTTATAAAGCATCTCCTGTGTGTTTGATAAGATCCTAACTGCTTTCATATATTATTTGTAATACAACAATGCTACAAAATAGGACTTCCCCATTTCAGCATTGAGGAAATGAAGACACAAAGACATCAAGCTATACGTTGCCACTTGCTTTCTCTGGTCTGAATATAGTTGTAAATAACAGTCTTTAGCTTCATCGCTTTTTATGTTAGGAGAGCGATGCTAGCAGGAGAAATTTCTGGAAATGCCCATTTGTCCCCTTCAGCCTCACCCTGAAACATCCTGTGGTGTAAAGAAGGCATCTGAGGTGCCACAAAGAGTGAAAGAGGAAGTCAAAGCACCTGAGTTTCCCGCAAAATTCCTCTGCTTCCTTGCTATGAGCTTGGGGTGAATCAAATGTCTTCAGCTTCCTATTAGTAAGTAAACGCAACTTAGAGAATAAGCATAAGAACTTCATAAAACGATGCATAAAGAAGCATACCTCAGACTCTGCAGCACTGTGCGGGGACTGCTCACTACAGTCTTAATTTCTGGTGAAGGCGCTGGTCCTGACTCTTCCTACCAACCTTGGGGGCCCATGCACTAATAGTCTGGCCTCCTGAGAGCTAGCTCTGACAAGCACTGTCAGCAATCCGTCCATCACCACTGAAGATATAAGAAGAGGAAAAGATCATTGCCACACCTCTTATTTCACGGTTTATCAATATTTGCATGTTTTAAAACACTTTGTAATGTATGAATATACTTCAGGTGCTTAATGCGGTTACACAGGTAAGAAAGAA